GTATGTCAGCAGGAAGCCGACAGCAGCCCTGCAGCGCCCATCAACATCCACAACTGCATTCAACAGCACCTCTGTCATGTCGAACGAGCAACAAGATGCAGAACGGCCAACTGAACACAGCAAGCATAAAAGCCAACAAATCATTTACCCTGAGGCATTAAAACAAACATGATTTTTTTTTTTTAAATAGCCACATTTGCTTTGATTCTTCAGCAAAATAATCTGTGCATGGGCAATCGTCAGGCGTCTGCATAGTTAACCAGAGCAGATGGGGCAAATTCGGCAAAACTGAAAAGAGATGGATGAATGAGGCACTAATTAAAGGAAACAAAGTCTTTTTTGCTGTTTGTATCCCTCGGCTTTGCGTAAATTAATGAGGACAACATTTCATTAAGCTCTCGGTGTCTGCACGCTGTGTGCCGCTCTTTCATCACTGCTGAAGTGCTGACTTTAATGAAGACACTGACCTGTGAAGTCAAATGATAAACGGCTTGCTCTCACAATAACGGGAGACTTGGAAATGAGCCAGTGTGGGAAACAGACAGAGAGGATGCTGGGAAAGGCCACTCTGCTGTATCACACCATTTCTGCTCTTTCATGTCCACTTTTCCAAGCTCTCAAATGTCTTTCATGCAGAGCTTGGTTGAGAATCTCTTTCTGTCTGTGTGTCACAAAACCTGTCAAAACATCTACAAATGTATTTATGGTAGGCCTAATGTTTCACACCAAAGTCAATTGGAAGAAATACAAAATTATGTTTTGTTGTAATTGTAGGATCATTAAATTTTTTAGAAGGCAAATGCAAAAATAAAACATTACTTCAAATGTAAATTGCATTTATGCATCATCACAGTACTTTTGCTGCCTTTACTATGTGCTGTTAAAAAAAATTATAATAATTATAGTATTTTTACTGTCAAGCTGTAAAAAACTATACTAGGTGCCGTTCACACAACACATCTTTGCATCTAAAAACATGAGACATGGCGCTCAGGAATGGTTTAAAAAAACACAGAATGCCAACTTCGCCAAATTGCCATCACAACTTGCTACTGTAAACAAAAGCTTGCAACACTTGCCCCGCCTCCGGTGTCTTCTGATTGGTCCATACCACTCCATACCAATTACATAAACTCAAAGACATCTGGATGCATTACAGTAATGATAATTTGGAGGGGGAAATGTGTCATAAAATGAATCTCCCAATGCAAAAATCTGAATGATCTATACACTGTGGATTTAGATATATCCACCTTATTTTTCCCGTAAGAGCGGGCGACGTGGCCATTTGTAAATTTTATGTGCAAGGCTTCTGGTCTCATCTGCTTCCAGGTAATTTTAGCTGTACAAAACAGATCGTTTTGCTGCTTGATACTGCAAACTAGTTTCTTACCATATTATTTTAATCATCTTAATTATGAACACAGTGGTTTGTAGTTTTACCATTTACTGCACTGTTATTCTTCTCCCTGTTTCCCTACAGCGGCTAATGAACCGGAAGTCTTGCACATTCAGAGAAAACTACTACGTTGAAAAATAAGGTGTATTTTATATGCATATACATA